ACTCAGATCAAAAGGCCAGTGCCACCCTTACCGCACCCGCACCTGCACCCGCACCCGCACCACCACCACCACCACCACCACCACCACCACCACCACCACCACCACCACCACCACCACCATCAGCATCATCATCATCATGATCATCATCATCATCATCATCATCATCATCGCCACAATCAGCACCATCATGGGCGCCAACACAAGCACCAGCATGACGCCAACGCCGCTACCACCGCCCCGCATCGCCACAGCACCACTGGCACCACTGCCCCCTCACAGCTCTCGGAGCTGTGCACCGCACCGGCACCGACCCCATCAGCACTCCCAGCAGCACCCTGCCATGACATATGACATAGAACGCCATCATATCGGTGGACTTGCAGAGGTCCTTGCTTGCCCTTCTGGCTCTGACGATGGTGGGGACAGCCGGATGGCTGTACAACCAGTGCACCGACTTGAAAATTGAGAGGGCCGGGCCAGAATTGTAGGTGTCGTCCTGCTTTCAGGTATCAGAGATGGCTCGGTCTCAAGAAGGCACTTCGCATCACTACGGCCTAGTGAATGCAGAGATCTTGCACCAAGCCAAAAGCTGCGGCTTGATCATTCATCATCAACAACGGGGAGCCGTGTCCCAATCTAGGAGGTGCTGGTATTGGCAGGCTCTTCATGTTACAATCTACAGGTGCTGGTATTCGGCAGAATTTGTCAGGCAATGGCGGAACATCACAACAGGCAGTGAGGCTGATGTCCTCGTTGTTTTTCGCAGATGTGCATCAAGGACCTGTCTGCAAAGTGTACAGGCAGTGGATGCGCATTATTCGAAAAGTTCGCTGATAGTCAACTGTCAAGGTAACCAAGCACTTTCGGTGCTCTCTTCGAAGGGTTCAATGCCGAGACGGATACATTACATGACCAATGTCGCCGAGCTGCCTAATCTGATCACGTGTCGAGTGTGCCATGATCACAACAGTTGCACACAAGATGCATGTATAGCGGCTGCTCTGACGCTTGCAGTCTTGGCTCGATGTGTGAAGACTGAGACCCGCAACTCTCGCACTTCAAAGATGCACACTTTGCCAGCAGCGGCACAAGCCTCCTACTACCAAAAGCTGGAGAGCTATACCGTTTGCACCGTTCAATAGCTTGCTTTCCTACTTCTGTAACAGCGCGTTACGGACTGCTAGAGACTGCCATTCTGCGGCCGAAAGGCCGAGAGGCCGAGAGCAGACATGTTGAGACAAAACGAATCTTCGTGACGATCGAAGCGGCTCGCAGTGCTTGGAGTTTCGAGGTCGCTTGCCCACTTCGTCCAGCCCACCCCACCCATTTATTGCTTTCCGGAATCTGACTATCTGGGCTGTTGGGCCAAAGTCGCCCCTGAATGCCAGTGGGGACAGTGGCCTGCTGAAGCACACATGCACCAGGCTTTCCGATGTTGTCAGCCAGCGAAGCCATCAAGAGAAACGGGAGGGTTCACAGAGGACGTTGCAGGAGCAACAAAATCTTTGCAACAGGAGACGAGGCAAAATGCAAGGTGGCATGCTGGATGTTGGCTGAGGCCTGTGAGTAAGCAGGCAGTTAAATGTCACTGTGCTCAAATAGGAGGCTTCAAGAGGAACGGGGAAAGGGTAAAGAATGCGATTGCGAGGTTGATCGACACATAGAGCGCAGTCGCGCGGCCTTTTTAGGCTTGGGGTTTCTCGACGAACATCACATGTTGGTGTTTAGATTTTGTCAACCAATATCTCCTTCTAGGGTTTTGGGTTCGACAACACTAGCACTATCTACAACAACTACAACAACAACTACTACTATTATTAATGCTATTGCTACTACTGCTACAACTGTTACAACTGCTACAACCACAACAACCAACAACAACAACCAACGACGACAACAACAACAACAACAACAAAAGCAACAGCAGCAACAATATCAACAGCAACAACAACAACAACTGCTACTACTGCTGCCACTACTACTACTACTACTACTACTACTACTACTACTGCTGCTACCGCCGCTACTACTACTACTACTACTACTACTACTACTACTACTCCTGCTGCTGCTGCTGCTGCTGCTGCTGATGCTGCTGCTGCTAGTACTACTACTACTACTACTACTACTACTACTACTACTACTAGTACTAATACTATTGCTACTATTACTACTTCCGCCACGACCACTTCTGCTTCTGTTTCACGGAAAGCCAAGCCTTTGTGTCCTCACCACGTACTTTGCGAACACCACCCCTCTGCCTTGTCGGGTTTTGCAAACACCATCTCTTGTTAAGGTTTAGGTTCTCAACCACTATCTCTTCGGGTTAGGTTCGGCAGCCAACATCTCCTTTTGGAATTCTGGGTTTCTCAGCCAAATCAACCAACATCTCCATTGAAGTTTTTTTGGGTGTGGCACGCAGCATCTCCTTTTAGGGTTTAGGTTTGCTCAACCAATCTCCTTTCAAGGTTTTGGGTTCGGAAGCAACATCTCCGTTAAGCTTGTGGGTTTTCTCAACCAACATCTCTTTTTTAGGCTTTGGGTTTCTCGAGCAACATCTACTTTGAAGGGTGGTGTCGGCCAGCAACATCTCCGTTATGATTTAGGGCCGTTTCGGGTTTCTCAACCAACATCTCCATTTAGGTTTTTGGGGTTTGGTATGCGACATCCGGTTTTTGGGTTCGTCAAGGAACATCTCCGTTTCGGGTTCGGGGCTCTGCCAACATCTCCTTTTTCGGAATGCTGGTTTAAAGTTGGGGTTCCAGGGGTCCAGGAATTGACGAAATTCCGCTCGTTTGGGTTTTTCAAGAGTGCTGGAAAGCGTTTCGGGCGTGCCGCCGGAAGTGCCGGGGAGTGGCGGGCGGCGGCCGGACCTTGCGGGAAAGCTTTTTGGAGGGTGTCGCGGGGAGTGTCGGGTTCGGCAACCAACCACTGTTTTCAGGGTCCCGCACTTCATATTCGTTTGAAGGTTCTGGGTTTCGCAACAAGCATCTCTTTTTAGGGCATAGGGTTTTGGGTTTCTCAGCCAAAATCTCCTTTTTGTTCAGCAACTTCTCCATTTAGGGTTTTTGCGTTTGGCCGCGGCGCGGCCCGCGGCCCGCGGACATAGCAAAAAACAACGCCTTTTCTCGATATCGGCGGTATCTATGTCAGCGGCTGGGAATGGCTGGGACAAGTTTTGCCATTAAGGAGCCGGGTTAGCGTGGCTCGTAGTTGGCGGGAGAGACATTTACTGATATTTAGACGTGGGTCAACACAGATCTTGGGCTTCACAAGACAAGCGCTTGAGCTTTTGAAGGATGATGATCCGGAAACAAAATCGTTCGTTCTGGGGTCTGTTCCGCACGTTGTTTTCTGAAAACGCTGCGCTCGGAGTCTTGGCCAATTATTCGCAGGCCGCTGTATGTCGCGGGCAAGCGCCTGCAGGACCGAGCAGGAAGAAAGCCTGGTCGTTTCTCAAGATTGGTTCTGGCCAGGACAGGTACAGCGGGTGATGACTTCGTGGTTATACTGCGACACCTAGCTGATCCAGCCTGAACCTCGGAAAAGCACAGGCATTCGCCAACATTGACTCATACAGGTGCTTAATGTCAGTTTCTGTTTAATTCTGGGGTGAACTGAGCTCTGGCACAGCACTGCCCTTCGTTAATGCTCCGCCTTGCCTCTGAGGAAATTCCTAGACTGCCAGTGGGAATGCATGCAAGGTAAATTTGATGCCACATGCACATGACGGTACTGATTCATTTATGCTTCGAGTCCTACTGCCTTCGTGGTTGCGGGGCATTCGGATAGACTGAGGCATTCATGCACGAAAACCGACAGTCGGTGCTGATGCCACTTCCTGTCATGCCTGCCAGTTGCTGGGTGCCAAGTTGCCGGTTTATGAGGCAAGTCTGCCCCAGCAGCGCTACATGGAGAACCGTCCCGGCCTTTGACACGGACTTCTGAGGTGATAGTGGATAAATGTGAGTAGAGATATGTCCGACAATGATTGGGTGAACTGACTGGACAGAAGGTGTGGCAAGAGCCGAAAGAAGAGGTACGGCGGTGGCATGTGCATACTATCTTCAAGCGTGTCGGCATGCAGCGGTGGCCTAGGTCCAAATGGCGCCGAGCCGGGAAGCCCAACCGATAAACGATTAGGTCAGGGTTTCGAAAAGTTCGCAGCTGGCATCGCCATGACATGGCTGTGTGACGAGGTCAAAGTATTACCAAGGAGAGACGTGGGTCACTTAGCACTGCCGCGAGATGGCACAGCATGCAGCATGGCTTGCCCTTTTTCAGGTTTGGACAGCTCTACAATGCCAGCTTGCAGCGAATATTCAAGTTCATGCAGGATCGGTCTACGACAGGGCGGGGGGGTTGGCCTGGGCTGGGGGGTAGGGTGGCGGGTGGGGCTCACATGAGTGAGTGAGTGAGTGAGTGTGAGCGAGTGAGAGCAAGCGAGCGAGCGAGACAGGGCGAGAGAGAGAGAGAGAGAGAGAGAGCCAAAATCAAATAGCTCAAGTGCTGCACGTTTGCTTGGGGGCCTGTTCCGCCTCTTTGCATTCCGGGAGAGTTGTGGGGGTTGACCTGGAGTTCGTTTGGGGGGAGCCTTCCCATCTTTCCCGGCGGTGCTTGAGCCTTTTGCGTGCCGCTCCTTTTCTCAAGTGCACCGAGGGTTTTGCGCCACTCTCGATCCCGACCACGGCCCTCCTTCGGGGGGTGGCCCGTCAGTAGGGGAGAGAGCATACAACTCCTCGGTGGAACTCTCAGTGTGATCCAGCAGTACTCCGGCTACCACGACTTCATCGATGGCCAGCGGGAGCAGTATCTTGGATGTCCGCACTAAAAAAGCCTTGGAAGCCACAGACGAAAGAGAGACTCCCAACGATACCTGCAACCTCATCGAGCACGTGCGGAGGAGGGGCGAAATGCAGACAAGCTTGTGAGTACGAGTGGCCAAAACCGCGGACCTCCTGAAGCAAGCCCAGACCTTGTACCGCGAAGCTTTGGCGAAAGACAAAGAACACCCAGGACGAGTCAACCAGAATAGCCAGAACGGGGAGTCACAGCTCCAAGGCGAACTCGCCCACCAAAGCCCTAAGCCGAAAGAGGACCAGCCGAACGAGGGGGGAGGTGCAGCGAGTTCAGGAACACATGCGGCGACGCAGTGAGTGATGAAGTCAAATGAGAGCGCGTGGGGAAGGTTTTGGCCAGGGCTGGGGATGGTTGTTCCGGACTTGGGGGATTTCTGTTCTAGTGGGACTCGACGCCATGCCTTAACCTTTCCCTCGCATTGCACTTTCCACGTAGTTTCACTCTTTTCGTAATTTCTTTAAACGGGTCAGGACACATCCTCCCATATAGGGCTCATACCAGCCCTCAATCCTTGCTTCGTTTCAACACACCTTTCGCAAAGTAGCCAAAGGGTAGTTCGGGGGACAGGAAGCCTCAGTTCAATCGATTCAATCCGTGCAGAAAACGGATTACACAAAAGCAGCCGGAGTGACGCCGGCCTGCGGGGTCGGATTGGGTCATATTCCTGCAATATGAGTCCTGCAATATGAGCCTGGCCCTTTTGGCAGGTGGGGTGGACCTTGGAAGTCTGCCCCAACTGGACAGGACCGTGGGTGCACTTAGGCGCATCTCGGTTGCCTTCGCTTGGCCCCCCCTCTTCAATCAAGGGCCTTCAGGGGCAGGTTTGGCTTTGTTGACCGTGCCGGGCCACCTGGGAGTGTACGCCATGGAGCCTTTGTCGGCGGCTTCGGCGCGGAGAGGTGCTCGGTGAGTTTTCCCAGCAGTGGAAGACCGCGACTGCCTTCGAGAGCTACGAGGAGCCAATGCTAGCGTGCTGGTGGCTGAAGCATGGGCTGCGGTCAGAGCGGGCCATCAGAGCAGCCTGCTGGGCTGGGCGACGGTTCGAATCGGCGAGCCAGGCGGGCCAGGACTTTCTTGAGGAAGGACCCGGTGGCCAAGGAGGTCCGAGCGCCGAGCAGATCGAGGCCTTTGTCTGAAGCCTTCTTCTCCATGGGTACGATTCGGCCGAAAAGCCAGATGACGCCGCGCTGGAAGAGGAGTGGCGTCCCCATGTCGCAGAGCAACTGCGAAGGCAGGTGCAGCGGAGCGAGCGACGGTCTGCGGAGTTTTGCTTACATGGTCGAAGCTGCCGAGTCGAAGCTCCAAGTTCACATAGCGGAAGGGGCAGAGGGGCCTCTACCGGGATGGTGGGGATCGCGGTGCTGGAGCTACCCATGATCCTGGAGTGTGCGGCTGAGCAGAGGTATGGGGCCAAGGCCCCAGTTGGCGAGCGCTGCTGTGGTCTCGGGGTTCTTCGCTTCGTGCACGTGGACCGATCCTAGCCGATGAGGCTCTCGAAGTCGACCTTCCACTTTCACTGCCGGAAGGGAAAGCAGAGGGCGAAGTCGGTATAGTCGGTCCGGGTGCTTTAGCTCGGGCTGGCTGGGACTGGGGCAGTCGCTGGCTTGCCGAGTGGAAGGAGTTGCCGGCTGGAGCCAGGAAGCACGCAGGCATCGCTTGTGGCAAACACGGGGTCCGGTTCACGACTGCACAGGCGGCTCGCTTAGCCCAAGATGCCTTTGCTCTGCTTTTGCGTCAAGAGGTGACGAGTCATTCGTTTTGCCTGGTGGGCGAGGATTGGGATGCCGTGGCTGAAGAGCGAGCTGGCGGCAGAGTTCAATGAGACGAAGGGGGGCGAAGATGCCGAGAACCCGCCGGGGCTTGGGGAGGAGGAGGGGCTGAAGATCGTGGGCCAGGAGGCCGACCGCAAAGAGATCAAAGTTCGACGGATTCATGGGGGTGGGCTTGGCGTGCTGGCTTGTGGAAGGCGAGGGCATCAGTGAGTACCAGGTGCTCACCGCCAAGGTGGTGCGTTGGAGAAAGCGACCTGGATGGCTTCGACGGAGCAGGCTGGTGGGGTGCGAGTTCAGGACGATGTCTGCCTACACCCAGGAGCTTTTCGCTCCTGCCTCAACCCTGGCAACCGTGCACATGTTCATGGCGTGGGCTTTGTCCATGGGCCTGGAGCTGACCACCGTCGACGTCAAGGATGCCTACCTCAAGATGACAAGCTCCTGCCGGGGCAAAGGATTGGTGCCTCTGCCTGGTTCAACCTTGCCAAGGATATCTATGAGGATGCCAACCTCGAGAGCAAATCAAGGAGCCAACCTTGTTCAGGAGCAAGGAGAAGCGCAAGGACACAGGGTTAATTCTTCAAGCCGATGACAGGCTCCTTGCAAGCACAGCGGCCGAGAGGGAAAAGTTTCGAAGCTGCGTTTGGGTCCAAGGTCACACTTCAGGTGAACCCACCGCTGCTCAACGAGGGGGACACCGTCGCGTTCCTCAAGAGAAAGTACGTGAAAACGGCCGAGGGCATGGCGGTGTACACCAACGGCAAGTACCTGGAGTCGCTGCAGGCAGCTCTGGGTGCGAAGTCCAAGTCCCGCGACAGCACAACTCTTTTCTGTGCGAGCCGGGAGCTGGTTGCCGAGGAGGCCGGGCTCTACAAAGAGTCGGTGGGAAGGCTTTGTACTTTGCCCACAGCCGGCCACACCTGCAGTTCCCCATGTGCATCCTGAGTTCCAAGATGAGCTGCCTGACGGTGATGGCTATGAAGTGGCTGCAGCGGGTGGTCGGGTATCTCTTGCATGCCCCTGAGATTGGGTTCTTGATCCGGCCCATGCGCAATGGAGCATGCTTTTCTTTTGGCGGGACTGGCGATTGCCGCAGACTGCGAATGCCCTCGAGCCCGGCGCCAAGATCGTCCTCCGCAAGAATGCCACGGGCACTTTTGAAGTGAGATCGCATTGAGCAGGCGATTCAACTAAGGAGTGCCCTTGTTACTGCAACTGCAACTGTGTTGCAATGTGAAGTTTATGTTGAAATGTTGAATGGATTTTCTCTGTGGATTGCAGAGACTGAAGTTCTTGGATTCAAGATGAATGGATCATGAGCCGGCTGTTTGTAAGTTTTGAATGTACAGTGCAAGACGGCCTCCAGATGATAACAGCCGAGACTTGAATGCCATTCCGAGTCAATTGTCCACAACGAGGCCAGTGTCCTTTCGCAGCTTTGATTGCTATTGTTTCGAACGTTCTTTGATCGCTTCGCCACTGATGCCGTGTATTTGTCTATTGTATAAATGTTTGAACTGTTCTTAACTTGTTTTTTCTCTTGCTCTCCGCTCGCTCTCTCGCTCTCTGGTTCTCTCGCGCTCGTCGCGCTCTTTCGCGTTCTCTCGCATTCCGCGCGCTCTCTCGCGCTCTCTCTCGCTCTCGCTCTGGCTCTCGTTCTCGCTCTCTCTCTCTCCGTGTCTTTCTCTTTCTCATTCTTTTTCTCTTTCTGCTAGTCGCACAGCTGTACGACGTCTGTCGCGCGCCGCCATTATTGTGAAAGGACATTCTTCAAGATGCGGTCGTGTTTGTGGCCATTGGAGAGACGACCCTGGAATCGACCGCAAGTTGAATGATTCGCCATGCGTCGTGCATCGCAAGGCCATGAAGTCTTTCCTGGTCTTGTTCACTATCCTGCACTTCTTTTTCAGCTGCCTGTGCCTTGCCTGCATATTTGTTTCAGAACGTAGACCAATGTTGCGAACTGGTAGGCAAGCAGCTATCCAATCAAGTTCGACAGAGACATTACATTCGCGTGCCCCGTCGTGAAGCCTAAGACTGTGCTGAAAGAACTTGGCAAAGCTCGTTGCTCAAGGCAAGAAACAACTCTGAAATATGCTTTACTCTCCTACAAGTCGATTCTTGAGCTTGTCAACAACGAATCGGAAAAGATGTCTCCGGTGAACTTGAAACAATGTGAGGAAGTGCTGCTGTCTCCGATTGTGCATAAGTACGCTGCGGCTATGGCGCCGAATGCTACAGTAGCGTCTTTGCTGTCCCTTTTGACGGGGCGAGGGCGGGGGACCTCAAGGCAGGGAGTGAGCCCGGAATACGGACGTTCAGAGCCCTGATATATCAGGAGGCAAGGGCCCCCTAAACTGACGGTTGACCCAAAACCAAACCTATGAACAACAACCTCCGGAAGCTCCAGAGAAGCTAGCCTTCGTGATTACTGTGATCAATCACCACAGATAAGATACAAGGCTTCCGAGGGCCGTTGGATCACGACCTGCGAAGATGGGATAGGGATCGCATGGCCGACGCAACATTTGCACCAGAACCGTCGAGCAAGACCTGTTCAAATCCAACAGCCAGGCGAAACTTCCAACATCGGACTGGTCGGAACACTCGAGGGGGGGCCCCGAGGACGCTGGCGACGAATAGGAAACACCATGACCATGACATGCCAAAATGGCAGGTTTCCAAACTCAGCAGCATGCAGTTGGGATGCTTGTGGAAACATCGATGGCATGCAATAGATGCGTGGGCTCGCACTCCTGACCCTGCCCCACCGAGCTGCAAGAACTGCACATGGGACCCATGTTGCTACTCGTTTGGGAAAATGAAAAGGAGTAATCTGACTGATTTTGCCATGTGGGCGAATTTGCCTTGACGAAACTCGGTACGAGTCCGTGCAAAACGAAAACGGGGCCCCTGAAATGTAACGATTGAGCCACGAATCCAGCAAAGCTCAGTCTGCATAGAAGGAGCATCATATTTGCTATACAGGCTATACACTGCTGCCCCTTTCGCCCCCTAGCTTTTGTCCGCTCTGCTCTCAAGTTTTAGTTAGTCGAACATTAGCACTTGGGCCTGCAGGTTCTGCTTCCGCGGGGCGCACAAGGCCCAAAATCCCACGAGTGATTCCGGTCAAACTGCGCCGTGGCTCACCTGTCGTGCATGCATCTTCGGGGTTGAGCCAGCTGAATTTCGTGCAGCTTCATGCAGGTCTTGCAGGTACAGTCGGCGGTCTGAGCGTCCAGTCTAGAGAAATAATTTGAGATCTCTCGCTTGCTGCAGATTGGACTGTTAACTCGACGGCACTGGGCGCTGTCCAATCTGGTCTACCAGCTGCGAACGCTCTGGAAAGAAAGGACAGGGTACGATTGACTTGTATGTCGTTCTTGCAGGTCCGTGATCATTCCGCTTGGAGTTCACTCCTTCTCTCGAATGGCGTTCCGAGCGAGGGTGTTCGAGCTCGAAGGGTGGAGAGTTTGAAAGTTCGAAGACTTGAACCTTTAAGGTCTGAAAGCATGAAACTTGGTGAAGTTCGGATGCTTGAGCATGTTGGTATGGGCAAGTCTGGCATCAAACTTCCAACCTTGCAAGCTCGAAGCTGTGAAGCAAGCTCGACTACTTCGAACTCAATCTCCCAAACTTAGGCCGCTGAGTTCCGGCGCTCAAAGATTCAAAGTTTGAAGGATTTCCATGTCGCCAGCGAGATTTCGAAATATCTGGAGGATTGAGAGTTCGGAAGCGTCGAGTTTGAAGTTCGCTCGCGGCGCCGCATCAAATTCGAGAGCTTGAAGGTGCCTTTTTTCAAGCACGGTGGGCGCGAAAGTTTCACGGCCCGCCGAATTCCGAGTTTGAGAGTTCGAAGGGATTACCGTTCGAAGGTAGGAAAAGCTGAAAGCTTGAAAGGAATCCGCATGTTACTGTCGCCGGCTTGCACCTAGGCCCATGCTCGCAAGGCGATTCTAGCGCTCTGAAACTTGTCGGGGGCGCTCGCAGTTGATTACATGTCTTAAACCGGCCCCTCATTTAATGACGATTGATCACGCCCATTAGGCGATAGAGGTCTGTCGCTTAAACACGCCCTCTCATTAAACGATGACAGTTGATCACATGTGTTAGACCCGGCCCCTGATTCGACGATGCCGGGTAATTGCATTTTGCATATTGTTTCGAACTCGCCCCCGCATCAGCCGATTGGGGCTTTTACTTTCTCAAACCCGGGCCCTCATCATTATCAAATCCACCCGCTCACTAAAGCTTGGGTTTTGGCAAGCCAGATTTGGGCTTGAAGAGCCCAGACACCTGATAAGGGTTTTGAGTTTCGGGTAGTCGGGGAACCCAATTAAAGTACATATAACCTTGCTTGAGCGAGGTGTTGTTCAGGGTTTCGGTTATCTTGGCACCCCGACTCTCCCAACTCCAATCCTCATATTCTTGGCATAGGTCCTGAACGCCAAATTCTGCTGGATGCAACAGACGTGAAACACCAGAGAACCTCTCAAATCGCACACATTTCAAACTCAAACTGTCAACTTTTCAAACTCCAGTCCCTGAAGCGTTTCAGCTTCGTGCACCAAGCTTCCAGAGTCTCAGACTTCGAAGCGATCGAACTCTCGAGCTCTGCGTGTTCAAACTTTCACGATTGGGTGGATAAGTTCAATCTTTCGAATTCTCAGACTTGCAACCTGTCAAACCTTGAAGGTTTTGCAACATACAAACCTTTCAATGTTTGAATCTGGGATTTCTCAAGCTTTCAAACTCCAAGCTCTCAAGCTTCAAGCCAGTTTGGACACATATGCGAAGAGGTGTATGTGGTATAGTCTTAAGGAGCAGCTGTTACGGCGGTTGTTTGATGTTGTTTGCGAACCAAGCATTATGGCTCTCAAGCTTTGAGACTTCCGCGTCCTCCCAAGTCCGTCACACCGTGCGTGTCGCCGCGGCTTCAGACTTCCCCGTTCAAATCTGTAGAACTCCCAACTCGAACTTGAGAACGTTCAAAAACTTTCGAACTGAAAACTCATGATTCTCCAAGCTTTTCAAACTTTCCAAGTCCCTCCTTGGTCTGGCCCCTCATTTGATATCTTTTCTGTGCCTCGCGGTAATCAACTTTCGCGGGTGGGCGCAGGAAGGTGCAGAGGCAGATCGCTGCCGATTTCCTTCGAAGGCTAACCTGACACTTTCGGTTTCTTCAACGTGCCATAGGAGTGAACTTGCAAGCAGAGGACTTTTGAAGCGCTTTCGCAGGCACCAGACATCACAATTGCTCAGCATACGCGTGCAGAGACATGTAGACTGGCTGCAGCTGCACTCTCAGCCCTCAGTACAATTGCTAGGCCGTTGTTCCAGCTCGTGCTTGGTGTGAGCTCGAGGCTCCACCAGTTCCGACCCAGGGACCCGGAAAAAGCTCGCGGCTTGATGCTGACAATCCGGTTTACGGGATTCGCTGGCGTTGCGAGCTTGACGGGACAACTTAGTAGTCTTGCGCACAAGATTGACTTGGTCGGAAAGCTTGAGGCCCGACGAAATGCCATGACCTTGGTCACTGAGATCATGGAGGCGTCGGCCTCAGAACTCAACAATTGCGGTGCTACTGTTGCCTGTGCCTTGACCAGGAGATGTCGGCACCTCCCCTCATTGAGCATCCGTTTTTTCGTAGCAGAGCTCCCAGAAGCACATCGAGCGCCAAGAGAGCGAGGCTGCAAAGTGGAACGCGAGGCTTTCGTCACAAGCACCCGAAGCTTCTCAACCAGCTCTGTTGCGAGGCTTGTGCTGCTCGCACCTGCATCCTTGATTCGTAGTAGAAGAGGGAAGAGACAAAGAGAGACTGTTTAGTGTTCGCTCACCATGAGCGGGTCCGATTGATGTCGGAAACAGCGAGTCAGCTAGAGAGCGAGTGGAGCAAGCAAGCAAACACGCAACTGTTCAACATTGTTTTGAAGCAGTAGCGACTCGTGCCTCAAGCCCTACTCAGAGAAACAAAAAACAGGCTGTGTGCAACAGGACTCAGGGGCAGTAGAAGGGGAGCCGGTCACTACAGAAGACCTGGCCACATGCCCCACCCCCTGGAGATCACAGCACGCAGAGCAGCTTCCCTGCACTGCGTGCCCAACTGATCGGAGTTTCTTGGCTGAACTCGGGCGATTTCCTGAATCGACGTTACTGGACCCCATGTCATTATAGATGTGCGATTGCTTTGCTCAGCAATCATCCCAACTCTACTAGCATTCGAGAGCAATGTGAGCCAAAAGAGCATCACTAGGCATGCCGAATCTTGAAAGCTCCTCGCTGCAACTCTTCAGTGCGACCTCAAATCGACAGAAGCCAAAGTGTGTGAGCGCGATGTTCACAAGCGGAGCCGCGACAGCACATCAGAACAAAGCGTGGATAGGCGTGCAGGCACCGATTTTTAGGACGTGGCTGGCAAAGATGGTAAGATACCTTGAAAACATCTGAGCAATCTTCGTAAGGATGTACGTCGAATGTATGCAATGAAAATGACAGTCCGATCAAGCCAGGCCTGACGATCAGTTGACGATCGCATGAGAGAAATTCAATCACGGGACCTTGATGACTTGATGTTCAAGTAATTGTAAACGCTTCGCGTCGTCCGCCTCGGGCCGGCTGCAAATAAAGAGGGGCGACGAATTGCTGCTGTTTTTTTAAGCGTCGTTGGAGCGGGGGGAACCTACCGAAACTTCACCACTTGACCTTGGGGCCTGTGAATGGGTCCAAGGTGAAGGAGAGGGGGGGTTCAGGGTCCCGGATAAGAAATGGGTTCGGCCAGGGCCAAGGCGAAGAAAGTGCAGATTATACATATCTTCTCGGGGGCAGCAAACCGCACAGGGTGTTTTCCAGACTCCGGTATGCGACCTTTACGGCTTTTTGCCGCAAGGTTGCAGGGTGCGAGCTGACTCGTGTCCATGAGAAACGAACCAAAAGCACGAGACGGCGAATTTGCTTGTGAGGAACAGAGGGAAAGATGCAAAAGAAAGCCATCAAAGCGATTTAGCGATGTGCAGACTAAGTAGCAGCTGACCAAGACCCTGCTAAAGGCACTCGTTCCAGTTTTTCACTGTTCTCCGGAAGTGGTCGGGAGCACGGCATGTCTACTGAAACCGCAATGTGGGGCTGGTGCTGCCTTGGTATTAGGTCTTCACCGTGGGAGAATCGTGTTCCATGATGTGAGCCTCTCTGCTTGGCACTTGCTTTTTGCATCACTGAAGCCGGGCGGTTGATAGAGGTACGTTATCATCAGCGGCCAGTCGCAATATGCCGCGCAGCTGCCACCGCCCAGGGACTGAGCTCTACAGTAGAGCCACCTTGGCACCCCCTGCATTACCTGGTATCGAAATCTACCAACGCTCGTTGTAGCAGACGGTGATGCCTGCCATGCACGGGAAGGCACATGATCATGCCATTGCAGTTCAAGCTCGCACAGTGGCAGGACTCGCCAGCAGGAACCCCGGGAACACAGGTCCGGGTAACACGCTGGCACAGACAGCCGCCGCTCCTTCCCTGGAGCAGGTCCGGAAGACCTTGCAAAGCGGTCAGGGCCCTTCTGTTGGATAAATGAGCATAAACTGGCAGAAGACAAAATGACTCCGACATGTGGGAGGCCAGTGGCTGAGTGAAGCCGCTCTTTGGACTGGCTGGGTCACGAGCTCGCCATGCTTTCGAACTTCCGCAGTAGAAGCGCAGCAAGTCGTATTGTAGCACCACTTAGCCCAGAAGCCCAGGTCCATCGGGGTGAGCTCAGAACACTCTGTGACTGCGGACTCCTCTGAGTTCGGCCGCGAAGCACCAACTCTTCGTACGCACTTCTCTATCTTCTATGAAGGTCTGTTCTTTGGCCTGGAAGCCGGCAGATTTGCGAGGCTCGCTGCACGGATGACCTAGACAGCCATGCCTCTTGAAATTCTTGAGCTGCTGGACAGGGTCATCTCTTCGCAAAAATCGGCCCATGCTTTCGCAGCCAGTTATGCGAGGACGCTGCTTCAATAGTGAAGATGACAGCTTTGCCAGTGGAGAGGACAGGTCTTCTGCCCTGCAGAGCCCTGCAGGAAGTTCGTCGAGGGTTTGAACCGGAGCATCCAGTCCGACATCACAGAGGCAGGCCTCGCAAGAGTGGCGAGGTGGGGAGGCTTCATGTGCAAACCCGAAGTGGAGTTGAAACTGAGGCAGGACCTGTTGATTGAGATCGCTAGGATCATACAAATATCCGGCTGCAAAGACCAAGCCGATGCAGACATGTTTGAGGAGGTAAAAGTCCGTGCTTTACTGTGGTGGCTTGTGAAATGCTTGCGTTTTTTTGGAAGATGTCTTGTGCGTGATGAGTGTGTCGCGCTTGCGACCTCAAGGCCTGCATCATCCCTTACCATGCCACTGTGGCACAGGACAAGATTTCAGCCACTTCCCCACCCCTTTCAAGTTTGCCAGAAAGTATACCGAGCGCAGCGAGCGTGAGTGTAGTGCGTGCACGTGCAAGTGTTCAGATGCTGGTTGGCATCTCTTCTGGTACTCAAGGTCTTGCTCAAGAAATCCTCTGCAAATATGGATCCAGAGATTGGGATATTTCGGATCTGGAGTTTGGGATTAAGCTGGACGTTCGTGTTCATGGAGCCAAAACCAATGCCGGATTCAAGAGCAAGGTTCCGCAAGGGTTTCCGGCTCGGTGCAGTCGGTTCCGCAGAGCCGTCTCGGAGTGGGTTGCCAAGTTGTGGACCCGGAGCGGAATTCGACTGGGGTTCGGTGTAATCATCAAACTTGCAGTAGGGAAAGACCCGGACATAATCAGACTATGTGGACTCAAGTTTGTGGCACTCTAACTTCGACCTGCGTCCGCCTAGTCCAGGCTTCATTCGCATGGGGTAAGTAGGATCTAAAATGTGGCACGTTAGTTTCCCTCTCTTATCGAAAGTTGTAAGACTGATGCTTGCTGGGTTGCCGCCGCGCCTCCCTCCAGGTACAGCAATGGACTGTAGAGCAAGAGATGAGGTTGCGTGGTACTGCCAGCCTGTAGCAATGGATCGCACCATCCTTCAGCAGTAGTTCACCAAAACACAGATTTTTCAAAGACAGCTTTAGTAGGCACCAATCACTCAGGCAGCAGTTCTTTAGCTTTCTGGTGAGCTGCTGAAGTTGCATGTCGGTTATTGTTATTCACTCGCTAGCTCATGGAAGAGCAGAAGCTGGTCACGTGCCCAGATGAAGTCAGGTTATGTGAACTTGCGTTGATGTTTCAATGCTGAATGTGCATGAAACAAGCTTCTGGACGATTTTATGAGAGACTCCAAGTGCTTCTGAGACGAGCAGAAGTTGAGCACGGAAGTGTCAAAAGACTGCAGGTCATCGGCATAGATTTGGGAACGGCTGACTCGTATGCCGCGAGCCTGTTTTCGTTACGTACCAACTGTGGAGGCTTCTGGGTATTTGATCAACTGCAGCTGGCTGAGGTGGCATACATCCGCGGGGGTGCCATAGAAGTTGTTCAGAATGAGGCTTGGCTCCCTTATCATGGTGAAGGTTGTAAGATCCTGTCTATGCTGTATGACACTGGCACAAGTTTCACATTCCAGACGAGCTGGAAAGACCCAGATGGTGCTTGGTTTATGCTTTCGCACTGCACCATCTAGTTTTGAACAAGAAGAACAAAATCAGGGCAGCTAGAGCCCAGGCCGTGTAATAGCTGTGCTTTCGCGTCTAATACTCTCCAAGTTGTCTCTTGATTGTGGTGGCTGCTGCGGACCACCACCATGAAGCAGGTGTCCATAGCATTACACTTTGCAGGCGGTGGACACGTAAGAATGGAGCTGACAACGATATTGCATGTGGGTTCGATCCTTCGACATCCTTCGACTTCCGACAGTCTCATCTCGCATCTCCTTACCTTCGTCCTCGCCGAAGCCTCTGCCACTCAGATGTGAGTGTGCGAACCCGCAAGCGAAAGCCGGGTTTCCCAGTGTGAACAAAAGGAAGATGGGGGAGATGATGCAGAAGATGCCACAGGCTCACATGTGGCGCAGGAGACGGGACGAAGAAAAATCTCAGGACAAGCGACGCCTCTCCTTGTTGTGCAGTTGCCGCTGGCTCTGGCGGCCCTGTCTTCCCAGATTCTGAGGAGCACGGACCGGTACCCACTTCGCCCGAATGAGCTAGCAGCCCCGCACGCTGTGACTGATGGACGAGAGTGACGAGAGATTATGGGCGTCTTTGGTGGTCCACTGATGAGTCTTTTTCAGTTTGGCTTCCCATTCCCAAGGCGCATGTTGCATTTCAAGTCCGACCGGTCCATGAAGCTGAAGCCATTCAACCCTAAACCGGATTTGGGGGTGGTTTTTTGAGTTCAGGGATGTGCAGCGCATTGTCGGCAGTCGTGAATGTCGTGGCGGTCCTTCTTAGATCTCGGCAGTCTTCGGTCAGTGGAAATAGTCGAGTCTCACCGGCATGCTTCAGCGCACCTTTAAAGACAGAGCATTGTCGTCGGCTTTGCAATGGGCGGGCTGCCAGATCGCACCGGTGTCGCGATGAGATGTGGGATGTCGGGCATGTAACGTGTCATTCTCGGCCTTGAAGAGGACCCTGTATGATCCTGCAGCATCCCCAAGAAAGCTTCGCCGTTAAGCAAACCAGTTGTTGATTGGCACGACAGCTCAGCGCATCGGAGAGGTTTCCCAGAGAAAGACGCCCAGTTTGGCCGGACGCTTCAAAGAGTACTCCTGCATGCTGATTACGCATACTGTCACATGCTGATATTGATTTGTACCAGTTTTGTTGCAATATGTCGATGAGGTTGGGTTCACCGACAGAGAGCGTCTTCTCGGAGACACCGCGCTGTCGCAGATCAAGTGCGCCCGGCAAGTAAACACGACGGTGTCGCATTGAACATAGACTGCATGGAAAGTGTTGCTTTGCCACACATTTGTATGTACCCACATTGAGAGGTCGAATGCCAAGAATACATGCGGTGCCCTCGGCATCGAGTACCACCGAAACACAGAAAGCCATGAAAGCTGACAGTGCATCGTTCGAATCGTCATCCTGTCGCATCGAACTACATGAGGTCGAAACTTCAAGCACCTACTGGGCCAGAGGTTGGACACGAGACCAGTATTCACCCAAGCGATCACGTTGACGCTAAGAGGTTCGACTCCCCTGCGGTCGATGCAGAGAAGTCAGGGCCTAGCCGGTAGCAGCTGAATCTTAACGTTCGCAGGTGCCAGGGATGTTGGCCGTTCACCTGCATTCGTTGCGCCGAGGTTTTGGTCAACTTGTCCCCTAGTGCAGACAGAGGCCACAGTTTCGATTCAAGGCTCGAAACACTGGTGGTGCTTGGTTGCAGGATGGCTTCGCAGGATATTCAGTCAGCTACAAGGGTGAGACGACGCAATTCTCGGCGACTGAGGCGGAAGAATCTTGTCCTCGACTCCGGATGCCTTCTGATTGCTCATGCGACATCACGAGGTTACAGCCATGTTCCTGACCAAGCTGAAGCAGGTGACGGAGGCCATACATCGAGAACGAAACACATTGTGTTTCATTGGGGAGCATGTCGCAGAGCTCGTGTGAGGCATGGTGTGGAGCAAAGGTGGCTGATGCAGATGCCTCAAGTTGACCTCAATAACTCCAGCTCCCTAAGATCTCTGAGAGATTGCGTCCATTGTTGTAGATTTTTGCAGATAGGGTGTATGTTGGTTCTGGCCTGCTGAGGCAGTCATCGCCGTTCCCTCCTATTTCGCTGATTTTCAGCGTGCGAGCCTCGTAGCCTTGGGATGAAGAAGCTCGTCACTTTGATTCACCGCTTGTGGAGGGCAAGACATCGCCTTGCCGCTGATCTAGTTTGTCACAGCTTCCCCTGACAGTGGCAGCATCTAGCAGCACATGTAATCAACTATGTGATTGAGGCCAAGCGCTCTTGGATGCTGCTGCGATTGCCGATCTACATGTGCTCAGAGCTGGCCCCTCAAGTTGGTGAGCGGTTTTGGAGAAAGATCTGAGGCTGCTGATGATGACGGTGGCGATATTCGGATCCACATTGGATGTGGCTGAAGCATTTTGTTGGTAGCTTTTTGAAGTTGAGGCACTACAACCATTCGAGGCTTTTGAGCAGCAGCTTGAGCATTGTTTTGAGGCCCAGAGCAAATCATGAAACAGGAAATTCGTGCACTTGTTCAGTTGCATGCTTGTAATAACCAATCAATGCCGGAGCCCCAGAGCCCCGGCAAGGAAACTGCGGACTTGTGTTTCCGGGCATCGTTCATGAGCATTCGCGGGTCTCCACCAGGCGAAGCACACCTACGTTTGATTTAATTCCAAGAGGCACCGATATGGGGCGCATGGGCGCAGGCATGGTGGGTAACTCCCTGCTCTCTCATCCAAACAAGAAACGAACAACAAAGAGAGAGACAGAGAGAGAGAGAGAGAGAGAGAGCCCGTAGCCTTGTGGGGGTGTCGGTAAAAGATACCGGGCTCGGTCTTGGGAGAAAAACTACCATCGCAAGGTTTACGGAACATGCAGCCCTACACAACGGCCTCTTCGGCCGAGCATCGTCATCAAAACAGGGGCGTGCCATCCGGCGCGGGGAGCCTAACCTGCTCCCTGAACCCCGGAGAAGAAGAAGAGAGCCCGTAGAAATACCTTTGTTTGCCCCCACGGAGGCACACGCCCCATACCCAACGGCTTCACAGCCACACACCAGTACACCCATACGGTGAAAATCCTGGATGGGGTAGCGCAAACGCGAGGGCTAGTGGGCCTGCCCCGAGCTCTAGCCCCAAGCAAAGCAAAGCCTGTAGCCATTTTGGCTCAAGATCGAGTCCCTCGACATCTCAAGGGGGGGGGAGTGTGGGACGGACGAGCCTCCGTACTGTGCCATGGGAGGCGAATTCCCCGCCCCTCTCCTCCGTCGAAAGTAATCTAGAAGGGGCGCTGCGCCTCGAGCCATATCCTTGACGGGCATCTTCGTGATACTATCTCACTATACGGACGGGGGAGACTGCAGGAACATCGTTCACGCCCTTACTGTGGACCAGCTTTCCGAGCTCTTCTTCCTTGAAGAGTTGCCCACCCCGTCCTAGAAGTATTATCACGCTGCGAGGGGGAAGCCTTGACCTCAGTGATCGTGATTTTGACAGGACGGGTGACCTGGTTATCAACACAATGGAACACCGTGACCAACGATACTGCCGTCTCCGTCGC